ATCCTTAGCCCACTTTTTGATGAGATTGTTTATTTCTCATAAATTTGTTTAAGTTCCTTGTAGATTCTAAATATTAGACCTCTGTCAAAAGGGTATCTTGCAAAAATTTTCCCCCATTCTGAAGGTTGCCTGTTTACTCTGATGATTGTTTCTTTTACTCTGCAGAAGCTCTTTAGTTTGATTAGATCCCATTTGTCAATTTAGTTTTTGTTTCCATCGGTTTTGGTATTTTAGTCATAAAGTATTTGCCCATGCCTACGTCCTGAATGGTATTGCCTAGGTTTTCTTGTAGGGTTTTTATGGTTTTGTGTTTTACATTTAAGTCTTCAATCCATCTTGAGTTAATTTTTGTATAAGGTATAAGGAAGTGGTCCAGTTTCTGTTTTCTGCCTATGGCTACCAGTTTTCCCAGCACCATTTATTAAATAGGGAATCCTTTCCCCATTGCTTGTTTTTGTAAGGTTTGTCAAAGATCAGATGGTTGTAGATGTGTGGTGTTATTTCTCAGGTCTCTGTTCTGTTTCATTGGTGTATGTGTATATATATAGATATGTGTACATATATATGTGTGTGCGTGTGTGTGTGTGTGTGTGTGTGTATATATATATATATATGTTTTGGTACCAGTATGATGCTGTTTTGCCTACTGTAGCCTGTTAGTGTAGTTTGAAGTCAGGTAGTGTGATGCCTCCAGCTTTGTTCTTTCTGCTTAGGATTGTGGTGGTTATATGGGCTCTTTTTTGGTTCCATATGAAATTTAAAGTGGTATTTTTCTACTCTGCAAAAAAATTCAGTGGTGTCTTGACGGGAATAGCATTGAATCTATAAATTACTTTGGGTAATATGGCCATTTTCATCATATTGATTCTTCCTATCCATGAGAATGGAATGTCTTTTCATTCATTTGTGTCCTCTCTTATTTCTTTCAGCAGTAGTTTGTAGTTCTCATTGACGAGATCCTTCAAGTCCCTTGTAAGTTGTACTCCTAGGCATTTTATTTTCTTTGTAGCAATTGTGAATGAGAGTTCACTCATGATTTGGCTTTCTGCTTGTCTATTTCTGGTGTGTAGGAATGCTTGTGATTTTTGTACATTGGTTTTGTATCATGAGACTTTGTTGAAGTTACTTATCAGCTTAAGGAGTTTCTGGGCTGAGATGGTTGGGTTTTCTAACTAAACAATCATGTCATCTGCAAACAGAGACAATTTGACTTCCTCTCTTGCTATTCGAATATGCTTTCTTTCTTTCTCTTGCCTGGTTGCCCTGGCAGAACTTCCAATCCTATGTTCAATAGAAGTGGTCAGAGAGGGCATCCTTTTCTTGTGGTGATTTTCAAATGGAATGCTTCCAACTTTTGCTCATTCAGTATGATATTGGCTATGGGTTTGTCATAAATTGCTCTTATTGTTTTGAGATATGTTCCATCAACACTCAGTTTATTGAGAGTTTTTAGCATGAAGAGATGTTGAATTTTATCAAAGGTCTTTTCTACATCTATTGAGATAATCATGTGGTTTTTGTCTTTAGTTCTGTTTATGTGATGGATTACATTTATTGATTTGTGTATGTCGAACCAGACTTGCATCACAGCAGTGAAACCAACTTGATTGTATTGGGTAAGATTTTTGATGTGCTGCTGGATTCAGTTTTCCAGTATTTTATTGAGGATTTTTGCATCAATGTTCATCTTGGATATTGGCCTGAAATTTTCATTTTTGTTTTTGTTGTTGTTGTTGTGTCTCTGTCAGATTTTGGTATCAGTATGATGCTGGCTTCATAAAATCAGTTAGAGAGGAGTCTTTTTCTATTGTTTGGAATAGTTTCAGAAGGGATGGTATCAGCTCCTCTTTGTACCTCTGGTAGAATCCAGCTGTGAGTCTCTCTGGTCCTGGGCTTCTTTTGGTTGGTAGGCTATTAATAACTGCTGCAATACACGAACTTGTTATTGGTCTATTCAGGGACTCAGCTTCTTCCTGATCTAGTCTTGAGAGGGTGTGTGTGTCCAGGAATTTATCCATTTTTCTAGATTTTCTAGTTTATCTGCATAGAGGTGTTTGTAGTATTTTCTCATGCTAGTTTGTATTTCTGGGAGATCAGTAGTGATATCCCCTTTATGTTTTTTATTTTGTCTATTTGATTCTTCTTTTTTTTCTTCTTTATTAGTCTAGCTAGTGGTCTATCTATTTTGTCAATCTTTTCCAAAAAAAAAACAGCTCCTGGATTTGTTGATTTTTTGAAGGGTATTCATGTCTCTATCTCCTTCAGTTCTGCTCTGATCTTATTTATTTCTTATCTTCTGTTAGCTTTTGAATTTGTTTGCTCTTGTTTTTATAATTCTTTTAATTGTGATGTTAGGGTGTCAATTTTAGATCTTTCCTGCTTTCTCTTGTGGGCATTTAGTGCTATAAATTTCCCTCTACACACTGTTTTGGTTGTGTCCCAGAGATTCTGGTACGTTCTCTCTTTGTTATCATTGGTTTCAAATAACTTTTTAATTTCTGTCTTAATTTCATTATTTACCCAGTGGTTATTCAGGAGAAGGTTGTTCAATTTCCATGTAGTTCTGTGGTTTTGAGTGAGTTTCTTAATCCTGAGCTCTAATTTGATTGCTTGGTGGTCTGAAAGAGTGTTTGTTATGATTTCCATTCTTTTGTATTTGCAGAGGATGTTTTACTTCCAATTATGTGGGTGATTTTAGAATATGTGCTGTATGTGGGTGATTTTAGAATACGTGCTATGTGGCACTGAGAAGAATGTATATTCTGTTGATTTGGGGTGAAGAGTTCCGTACATATCTATAGGTCCACTGGGTCCACAGCTGAGTTCATGTCCTCTCTTATTTCCTCGAGCAGTGGTTTGTAGTTCTCCTTGAAGAGGTCCTTCACATCCTTGTAAGTTGTATTCCTAGGTATTTTGTTTTCTTTGTAGCTATTGGGAATGGGAGTTCACTCATGTTGTGGCTGTCTGCTTGTCTATTCCTGGTGTGCAGGAATACCTGTGAATTTTTCACATTGATTTTGTATCCTGAGACTTTGCTAAAGTTGCTTATCAGTTTAAGGAGTTTTTGGGCTGAGATAATGGGGTTTTCTAAGGATGGAATATCCTAGTTAATTTTCTGTCTCATTGATCTGTCTAATATTGACATTGGGGTGTTAAAGACTCCCCCTATTGTTGTCTAGGAGTCTAAGTCTCTTTGCAGGTCTCTAAGAACACCAAGATTCAAGATTTTTGAATCTTGGTGCTCCTGTATTGGGTGCATATATATTTAGCATAGTTAGTTCTTCTTGTTGCATTGATCCATTTACCATTACATAATGGCCTTCTTTGTCTTTTTTGATCTTCATTAATTTAAAGTCTGTTTTATCAGAGACTAGATAAACCCCACTTTTTTTTTTTGCTTTCCCTTTGCTTGGTAAATATTCCTCCATTCCCTTAATTTGGGCCTATGTGTGTCTTTGCACATGAGATGGATCTCCTGAATGTACCACAACAATGGGTCTTGACTCTTTTTCCGATTTGCCAGTATGTGTGTTTTAATTGGGGCATTTAGTCCATTTACATTTAAAATTAATATTACTATGTGGGAATTTCATTATGTCATCATGATTCTAACTGGTTATTTTGCACATTACTTGATGCAGTTTCTTCATAGCATCACTGAGGGGAAGAGGAGACCATTTTGGTGTGTTTTTGCAGTGGCTGGTACCAGTTTTTCCTTTCCATATTTAGTGCTTCCTTGAGGAGTTCTTGTAAGGCAGCTTTGGTGGTGACAAAATCCCTCAGCAATTGCTGATTTGTAAGGGATTTTATTTCTCCTTCACTTATGAAGCTTAGTTTGGCTGGATATAAAATTCTGGGTTGGAAAATCTTTTCTTTAAGAATGTTCAATATTAGCTTCCACTTTCTTCTGGCTTCTCGGGTTTCTGCAGAGTGACCCACTGTTAGTCTGATGGGCTTCCTTTTGTAGGTAACCTGACCTTTCTCTCTGGCTGCACTTAATATTGTTTCCTTCATTTCAACCTTGGTGAATCTGATGATTATGTGTCTTGGGCTTGCTCTTCTCGAGGAGTGTCTTAGTGATGCTCTTTGTATTTCCTGAATTTGAATGTTGGCCTGTCTTGCTATGTTGGGGAAGTTCTCCTAGATAATATCCTGAAGTGTGTTTTCCAACTTGGTTCCATTCTCCCCTTCACTTATGGTACAGCAATCAATTGTAAGTTTGGTCTTTTCACATAGTCCCTTATTTCTTGGAGGCTTTGTTCATTCCTTTTCATTCCTTTTTCTCTTATCTTGTCTTCACACCTATTTCACTAAGTTGATCTTCAATCTCTAGTATACTTTCTTTCACTGGTTTGGTTCAGCTATTGATACTTGTGTATGCTTCACAAAGTTCTTCTACTGCCTTTTTCAGCTCCATCAGGTTATTTATGTTCCTCTCTATACTGATTATTCCAGTTAGCAGTTCCTGTAACCTTCTATCAAGGTTCTTAGCTTCCCTGCATTGGGTTAGAACATGGTCCATTTGCTCAGAAGAGTTTGTTATTTTGGTGGAAATTTTATGGATTTTCTCCATATGAGATTATGTCATCTGAAAACAGAGATTGTTTTCCTTTTTCATTTCTAATTTCCTTTCTGTTTATTTCTTTTTCTTGGCTGATTGCTCTGGATAGGTCTTCCAATACTATTTTGAATAGAAGTGGTGAAAGTGCACATCCTTGCTTTGCTCCTGCAATTACAGGAAATATCTTCAGTCTTTCAGATTGCATATGATGCTAGCTGTGGGAGCTTCATAGATAGGCTTTACCATGTTGAGGTAATTTTCTTCTATTCATAATTCACTGAGTGTTTTTGTCATGAAAGGGTGTGGGGTTTTGTGAAATAATTTTTCTGTAGCCAGGGTCTTACTGCTTTGCATCTGGAAAAGCCAATCTACTCTACACCCACCCATACCTTCTCCACTATATGCCTGGTGTTAGAGAGGAAGGAATACATTGTGTCCTTCAGACGCCAGGGGCCACTCCACCAGACCCACAGCAGTAGTCACCTGTGTGAGAGGGTGGGGAAGCAAAAGAGGCCCTCACAGGTAAAACTGAGAACTCTGCTTGAAGCCATAGTAGCTGTTACCTCTCTACAGATGTTGACTGAGATGGGGCTACCCCTGCCACCCTGGATTCAGACACAGGCAAAGGGTCCAGGAACAACAGGGGACTGGACCAGAATCAGAAACAATAGGGTGAGGGGCTAGGTTCAGTCTCCTGTGGGTAATATGGGGTGACAGTTATAGGGAGTCACGCCATTTGTCCCAGAGTTGGTGGCTGTGTTGATGACTCTTTCAGGGAAGCCAGTTTCTTCCTCACTCTGACCACCTCCAACTGATAAACCCTCTTTTAGATTGATCAGGTTTGGATGGCCCCAGAATTTCTATTAATGGGATTTAGTTTTCTTAAAGTGTGGAATGATTGCTTCATGCAAATCAGCCCCCTTCCCTTGTCTCCCGACCCTTCATAGGATCTCAATCCTGACAGTCACCTGCCTGCATTTTCCAGTCAGGGTGGAGAAGGCCAAGCTGCCTGCACCCAGCTTCCTGTGAAGACACAGCTGCTGAGCTCAGTGAGCAGTGAGCAGATGACACAGGGTCACAGCAGGGGCTGGCTTCCCAGCTATGGTCACCTGCAGACCTCTCAGGGATAAGCCCACAACATCCGGTGCTGCCCCAGGCCCAGACCCACTGAGTCTTTCAGTTTCTCCCTGCCTTTCTTCATTTCTTCCACTCCAAGAGAGACAACTGTGAGGGCCCCTGTGAATATGCATCTGTACTTATTGCTGTGCACAGAACTCTTGAACCATGACGTACCTGCCTGGTCTACTGCTATTTGTAGTAAAGTCCTGAGATCTCGACCTTCCTGAAGTAGATTCCCTGACAGACGTCGGAGCAGGGAGCCCAGCTTGATGAAGGGGAAGCCACCAGGAATGCAGGGCTGTGCCCACAGCTGCCTGCTTCGTCCTCACTCAAGAGTGTGGCCCATTTCCAGGTTCCCAATTTGTCTCCTGAAAGCTCTGCACTCTAAGGTTGGTCTCTCCTCTGCTCTCAGCTCACCAGTCTCCGGCATCAAATGAAACCGAAGTTGGTCTCTCACTAGACATAGGCAGAGGCAGGCTGAGCTCTTCTCTCTCTCACATGTTACTTATGCACCCTTGGCTGAATCCCCTGTGTGTGGGGACTGAGCAGCCCCATGCATCTGGATGTGACAGGACGTGAAATCACTTCTCCAGAGCTCAGGCTGAAGCAACCCCTGGGGAGGCCCTGAATCTGCAGACTTGAAGGATAATAAAAAGAATAATTAGAGAAGTGAGTAGGCATCATTCACTGGGAGTTATATTACATGTATTACATGCTAACTGGTGTGCCCACTTGAGTGTAGCTTTCTTAGAGAAGCTCTGTATTTGTAGTTAAGCCCCTAGACCCAGCATCAGTAAGGGGAGGCCTGCCCCAGCTATGCCTCTTCTAGGTTGTGACACTGTGTGGAGTTACCAGATCAATTAAAGGGCACCCAGTTATGTTTATACTTAAATACATAATATTGTCTGGGAGATACATATACTGATTGTTTGTTTTTTTCTTTTGAGTCAGAGTGTCACTCTGTTACTCCACCTGGAGTGAGTGGACCGGTCTCAGCTCACTGCAACCTCTGCCTCTTAGGTTCAAGTGATTCTCATGCCTCAACCTCCTGAGTCACTGGGGTTACAGGTATATGCCATGAGGCCCAGCTAATTTTTGTGTTTTTAGGAGATATGGGGTTTCACCACGTTGGTCAGACTTGTCTCAATCTCCTGGCCTTAAGCAATCCATCAGCCTTGGCTCCAAAAGTGCCAGGATTAAGATGTGAGCCACAGCACCCAGCCTACATATCAATTCTTCATCACTGTTTTACTGAATTCAAATTTAACTGACCTCCAGTGTTTATGTTTGATAAATTAGAAAACACCGTCTCCAGGCCACAAACATTTCCTCTGCAATCAGGACCACTGCCTGAAAAGCAATAATAGAGCTGTTGTCAGGATTACATGAAGTCACAGTCTCAGCAATTAAAAAGTTGTTTGTCAATAGTAAGGCTGTAGTTGTACTAAAGAAAACATAGTGTGGTTGCCCACACAGACACAGACAGACACCCTGGTTTCTACACACCGACCCTGGCTGGGAGGGAACATAAGTATCAGCACCCCTGGTCACTTCAGCTGACAGAAACCAACAGGCCAGGAGACAGGATGTAGGAGGGGGAGGTGCTTTCCATAGTTCTCATGAGGCATCTTATTTGTGTATTACCTATTTAAAACCAAGAGAATAAAACAAAATTGTTGAATAATGGCGAGAAGTGAGTATGTAATAGCATAAGATGCAAGCAGGGCTGAGAATCACCAGAGAGAGAACATTAAATACCTACAGGACTCAATACTGTTAGGGGCCCCAGGAAATGTATTGAATTTTTAAAAATCAGAGAAAAGGGAATATAGGCTACCCTGGGTTATATATGTGTGTATATACAAAGGCAGGAATGGGCATGAAAGGCAAAGTGGCTGGGGACCCTGAAAGGTACTAATGAACCCTTTATGGGATGAGATGCAATTCAGCAACAACAGGGAGAATCTCAAAACAAGTGTGCAGAGTGAAAGAAGCCTCAACAAATAGCAAGATAACGTTTGAGAACACTGATGCATTCCACAAATGAAAACCAAACACTAATGACAGAGGAAGATCTGTGGCTTCCCAGGAGGGCACTGGGGTAGAAAGGGTGATGACAAAGGGTCATGAGGAGCTGCTGGGGTTGGTCACAGGTTGCATAGCTCGGTGGTGGTGATGCTTTCAAGGATCCAGAAACATGCCAACATGGGTGCAATGGCATATTATAAATATACGTGTTTTATCATATGTACATTATTCCTCCTTGGAGAGGGTTTTATTAAAAAGAATGGGCTGGTGAGGAAAGAAGCCAAGGGGTTCACCCTGAGAAGCAGGGACAGAAAGCCAACAGTCTGGGAACTTCTAGAAATCAGGAAATGAGGATGATGGAGACACAGGTTCTGCATCAGAGTTAGGTCTGTAATGACACAGCTGGACCTATCACCTCAGCCCAGGACTTCAGTCTGGAGGCCCTGTGCCCCAAGGTACAAAGAGTTGGGTGTTCTGTTCCCTGGAGGCCCTGTTCCTAGGAAGGAGCTGCTGTGCATGATTCTCAGAACAGAAAAAAGGAGAAGCCTCTACTCTCAGGCAGGGCCCTCCTGGATATCCCTGGACCATGGGGAAGCTGCAGCAGCAGAAGCCACAGGCCACGCCTGAGCAGCATCAGCTGAGTGCTCACCCTCCTGGTAGAGGAGGAAGGGGGTTCTTGTCTCAGATTCCCCCGGGCCTGGAGCACCGTGTGAGCACTCAGGCTGCTGTCATAGGACTGGCAGTAATAATCAGCCTCATCCTCAGACTGGAGTCCGGTGATGGCCAGGGAGGCTGAGGTACCAGACTGGGAGCCAGAGAATCGGTCAGAAACCCCTGAGGGTCGCTTATTATTTCCATAGATGAGGAGTTTGGGGGCCGTTCCTGGGAGCTGCTGGTACCAGGATACATAATAACCCCCAATGTTGGAGCTGCTCCCAGTGCAGGAGATGGTGACCCTCTGTCCGGGCGCCCCAGACACTGAGGGCGGCTGCGTCAGCACAGACTGGGCCCAGGACCCTGGAAGTGGGAGAGACACAGGCATCATGATTCTGCTTCTAGAGACAACAGGAGAAACCAATCATCAATAGGCTTCCCAGGGCCCCTCCCCTGGACCTGTATCCAGTCACCTGTGCAGTGAACCAGCAGAGTGAGAAGGAGAGACCAGGCCATGCTGGAGACTGTCCCGAGTGCTGCCTCCTGTGCCCACAGCTGAAGCAGAGCTTCCCCAAACCTCTCCCTGCCCCTCTTCATACTCTGAGAGTGGGAGGGTCCATCCATGCAAATCAGACCCCCAGCTTTCTAACCCCACCCTGGGCCCTGGGTCAGGTCCCTATGCCTGAGGATGTCAGGGGGTGGCCGGGGTGGGGTTGTGTGCTCCCAGGGGGTGGGGAGGATGCAGCTGTGAGCCCTGAGCAGAGGACACCAGGCAGGGCAGGTGGCTGGTTCTGCTCTGATCACCCCCAGTCTTCTCAGGAATGGTCTCCAAGCGCCCCCTGGTGTCCAGACCAAGACAAACCGTTGTGACCAGAACCTCCAGAGACACCGCTGCCTCCCTGCTGTTCTGTCCACTGCCCCCTCTCAGGGCCAAGCCAGGTGGTGCTTGTGTCTTCTCCCTGTGATCTCAGGGCAGTTCTCCCACTTTACTGACCTCCTTAGAAATGAATCTGTCTGTGGCGCTCTCACTGTTTATTATAGAGGACTCAGGTGGTGACTACACAATGTCCTCATAGGTCAGAATCAAACCCAGACCAGGGACCGACTTTCATGGACTCACTTTCCCACGTGTGGGGACACCGTGTCCTCTCATGTGGCTCCTCCCTGGTGGCCAGAGCTCTCCCTCTGTGGATCCTACAGCACTGAGTAGAAGGGAAGCTCTTCCCTCTAGGATGCCCAGGGAACATTCCCAGAGGGTTATTCTGGTCAATCTTCATTCTCTACTTCCCCAGAATTGCAGTCATAGTCATCTGGATCTTGTGACCAGGCTGAACCGTGCCTCACATAAAGGACAAGGCTGCCCATGACCCCCTCCCTGCCCAGGAATGCCCTTTCTGGTGGATGCCCCATCAGCTCTTAGGGTGAGGGCAGAGTGAGGAGCAGGTCCACGGCTACCTCTCCCAGGTCAGCCCCATCCTGGGGCCAGTGTAATGTGGCCCATGTGATAAGAGGAAGGTCTCTGTCAAATAGTTGCTGAGCACGTATCTTTTGCTGGGCATAGAGCGCAGTGTTGGAAATGCCATGTTGATCTAGACAGCCTAATGCCTACCTTGTGCAGCTGCCCTGATGAAAATACAGGCATAGGAGGGGCACAGGAGTCCCCCCTTCCACCCTCTTAATCCCTAGGGCAGAGACCAGAGAAGTCCCTGCTGTGCTCCAGGGTCTGAGAAGAGATCTCGACTAGATGGCATCCTAGGGAAAGATGGAAGAAGGGAGTACAGGAGAATGAAGGGAATATGGGCATGACCTGAAGATTCCTGGGGTTCAGGTGAAGATGTACAGAAGTCCACGAAGTAGATACAAATGAATAACATTAGATAAATAACAGGATCTAGGAGAAGTGGACTCCCAGGAAGGAGCGACTGTGACTGAGAAAGGCACCCTGGCAGGGCAAGTCCTCAGAAATCCAAGAAGATGTACTTTTATTCCCCAAGTCCAGGAGCTTGTTCACTGGTTGGGCAGAAAAAGAGGAGATTCCACCTTAGGAGAGCCTGGATGGGAGGTGTGTGATGGGAATGTCCACATGTACAGGTATATTTCTAGATATTTCATACAAATGGGATCGTGTTAATTTTTAGATTGCTGTGAAAGAAGACATATTCAATGCTATCTTGCTATTATTCAAAAACACAGTGCATCTTCAGCAAAGAAAATTTGCCCTGCAGGTGCTATCCTCATGGACTATTAGTACTGTGTTTTTAAAAGGCTTTCTTTACATTTTTTTTTAACCATCATACTGCTTTTTCTTTTTTCAGAAATATGCATTCTGATTAAAATTGTTGATGTAATTTAATAATACATCTTTCTGAAAGTTATGCAATTACCTTTTTGACACATATACTCTGGACCTATCAGAGGTTATTCATTGAGAAGACCAAGAACATTCACTACTGAATATATTCATGCTGTTGTTTCTGAGGAGTAAACTCTTGAAGCTCTGGAATTAATTTTCTTAGATCTTGGAGGAATTCCTAAGAGGTAGTGAAACTTTTCTTTTCTAACCCTCCATTTATTTAAGAACCCTCCCATCTCTCTTTTTTGTGACAATGGGCTGTAGATACATGGTTCACATCATTAGCTGCTGAGTGGAAAATGAGCCATGACAGGAAATGAGAACAGAAGTGTGAGTGTAGAATTTTGGAAATGAAATGGCTCTAGACCTGAGGAAATAACATGATATTATTGGGTATAGACAGCACTTTCTAGAAGGACACTGAGAAGAAGAATCTAAAGTTTGGGTAAAGTAGGAGAGCTCAGTTATGGCTTTTATAGTTTAACCGGCTTTTGAAGGGTCAGGGTCACAGCTGAGTGAAAGCCAGTTTGCCATTGACCCCAGACCCTGGAACCAGGACTGAGGGAAGACTCTCAGCAGTGACACGGCTAACCTGGGGGAGCAGCCACCTTGAGATGAGAGCAGAAGGAGGCTCCCTGTGCAGTGTGGGGACAGAGTGGGAGGTGCAGGTGCTGTTCCCTGAGTCTGGTCCTCACTTGAAGAGGGACAGACGGAGGAGAGGTGCCGAGGTGATGGTGATCAGTGGCCTCTAGTGTGGCTTCTTGAACTACTACTGTTCTCCCTTTTTTTTCCTCTGGGCTTTGGAGGCCAACATGAGGATGTTTATCTGCTTTCTGTCTCTCCTGAGGCTGCCTGATTCTCCTATCAATGTCTCCTTGATGGGCATGGATGTGTTTTGGCATGGAATTGATCTGTGAAAGGACTATCACAAAGGTCAGGGATCCCATGATGGAATTTTTTGAGACAGAGACTCTCTTGTCTGTGTCCCAGCTCAGCTCTCAGTTTTCACAAGACAATACCCATTATGAACTAAAGATGAGGGTGGAGGGTACAGTGATTCACACAGTGGGGCTACTTAGGCAGAGCTCCTGCTTTTGCCTTTTCCTGTAGTGTCTGGATCCCAGATTTTCCAGCCCTGAGTTCAGCATGTACGAGTCCCCAGCTGCAATATTAGGGACAGACAGTGTGTGGCCCAAACCCATCAGATATGCTCTCTGTTCACCATGATGCTGTCATGGGAGACGGCATGAATAATTTCCTCTGGTTGTCTTTAAGGCCGAGATTCCAGACCAGCTGTTCGGGGAGGGCAGATGTTTCTCATTCTGGAACTTTTTCAGTGAGGATGGCATATGCTACACTGGGGAGCCATTTTGTTTCCAAATAGGAATTCAGCCAGGGACAGGAGAGGTTATGGAGAGTTGACATGTCATATATCTCAGAGATATGTTTTCCTCTCCCGTTTGCCATGTGGGAAGGAAAAAGTCACGTGACACATTTGAACAAGACTAGGGAGCTTTTGTCTCAGTTTTCATTGTGAGGATGAACTCAAGGTTTCCTGCAACCCCCTTGAACTTGAAGGACCCCACCCCCCACCAAACTGTGTGATCACTGTGCCCCGGTCAAAGACTAAGGCCGGCCTTGAGCTTCTCACCTGACTCAGGCTTCAGTCCCTCCTCCCCAGAAACCAGTACTGAATCTCACCGCTCTCTCCCAGTGACCTCAGCTGGTCCCATGGCCTTCACACTTCCAACCTCCTTGTCCATCTTCTCTGAAGCATCTGGAATTGTCTTCACACTCTTACCTCAGATCCTGTGTCCTCTTTGTCCAACCCTCTAATGGCTTCTCTACCCTCTCCCACCCAAGCTCTCGTCTCCTCACTGTGCAATGCTGTCTTACTGCATCAATATTTTTACTTGATTGTCTTTTCCACAAGTCGGTGTGAGCTAGAATATTCTAGACTTATCTGTAAGCCTTCATCCATTTTGGTATCAGTACTGGGCTCTGCTACGAGGATATAAGTCTTAGATGTCAGTCTGGGAACTTCAGTCCTAACTAATTTCCTTGAAAGCCCCCAATTTCTTTGATCTGAGAGTGAGACTCAGCCTCCCCTCAATGCCTGAGTGGGCAACAGTCCTCTAAGAATTCTTATCTGAGGAAAATTATCTCTTCAAAGGAATTTTCTTATCCTATTCTTTTTCAAACTGCAACAGAAGAAAAAATGAGTAGATGGCTCAGGAGATCTGGTCTACCATCTGAGCCTCAGTTTATGCCACCGCTCCTCACTTTAGAAAGAGGGTCCTCACTATTTTCTGGTCCTGGAAACCTCTTCCACCTCCCCTCATCATCTGGTGGAACTGCCTGGCTCTGCTGCCTAATAGAATTACTGGACCTCCCCTTGTTTTCTGTGGCTGCCTCCTCTGTAATTCTGTGGAAGGAGGAAGCCAGGGGGAGGCTGGGAGAGAGGAGAGAGGGGAGCCTTGGGTAGGCTTCTGATTTCTAACTCTTTCTTCTCCTCATTGGGGCACTGAGAGGCGATGGAAGCAATGCCTGGGATGCAGCCCCTGGGCTGAGCAAAGTCCTCAAGTAGCCTTAAGCCCTCATCTGGCCATAGCTACAGAGAGTGATAGGAGGAGGGTTAAGGAAGGAGTCCAGGTCTTGGGGAGCACATCGTCACCCTCTGGGCTCTAGTGAAGCTCAAAGGCCCACACCTCCTCACCCCCTCCCCACAGCATGGGGAGGCACAGGAAGGTCTATGAAGACACAGCTGGATCTGCCACCTCAGCCCAGGATTTCAGTGCAGAGACCCTGTGATCCAAGCTGTGGGAGCAGGATGTTCTGATTCCTGGGGTCCCTGTTCCTGACTCTGAGGACAAAAGTGGTGGAGCCTCCACTCCTAGGAGGGCCCTGGCTGTCCCTAGGCCCATGGGGGAAGCTGCAGCAGCAGAAGCTACAGGTCAGGCGTGAGCAGCAGCTGCAGGCACTCACCCTCCTGGCAGAGGAGGAAGGGGGTTCTTGTCTCAGTTCCCCATTGGCCTGGAGCACCGTGCGAGCACTCAGGCTGCTGTTCCATGCTAAGCAGTAATAATCAGCCTCATCCTCAGGCCAGAGTCCAGTGATGCCCAGGGTGGCTGAGGTGCCAGACTGGGAGCCAGAGAATCGGTCAGGGACCCCTGAGGGTCGCTTATTAACATCATAGATGAGGAGCTTGGTGGCTGCTCCTGGGAGCTGCTGGTACCAGGACACATAATACCTCCTGAAGTTGAAGCTGCTTCCAGAGCAGGAGATGGTGACCCTCTGCCCTGGGGCCGCAGACACTGAGGGCGGCTGCGTCAGCACAGACTGGGCCCAGGACCCTGGAAGCGGGAGAGACACAGACATGGTGATTCTTGGTCTAGAGAGAGAAGGAGAAAGCAGGGCCTCATGGGCTTCCAGGACCCCTCCCCCGACCCTGTGTCTGGGCACCTGTGCAGTGAATGAGAAGGGTGAGGAGGAGAGGGGACCAGGTCATGATGAAGATTGTCCCGAGTCCTGCCTTCTGTGCTCACAGCTGAGGCAGAGCTTCCCCAAATCTCTCCCTGCCCCTCTTTATACTCTGAGAGAAGGAGGATCTATTCATGCAAATCAGATCCTCCAGCTTTCTGATCCCACCCTGGGCCCTGGGTCAAGCTCCTCTGCCTGAGAATGTCAGGGAGTGGCAGGGGTGGGGCCGTGTGGTCCCAGGGGGTGGAGAGTTCACATCTATGAGCCCTAAGCATAGGGCACCAAGCAGGACACTTGGCGCTGGTCCTGCTCTCATCACACCCAGTCTTCTCAGGAATAGTACGCTGGCGCCCCCTCGTGTCCATTGTGTGACATTGTACACCACCATTGTATGACAAGGTGACCAGAGCCTCTCAGAGACACCCCTCCCTCCCGGTTGTTCTGTCCACGGCCCTCTCCATCAGGGCCAGGCCAGGCAGCCCCCTGAGTCTTTTGTACATGACCTCAGGCCAGACTTCACGTTCTACTGGATTCCTCAGGGGTGAATCTGTCCATGGCTCCCTGGCTGTTCACTGTATAGGACTCAGGTGGTGACTACACAAAGTCATCTCATGTCAAAATGAAATCGAGAGCCCTGACCAGCCCCATGGACTCATTTCCTCAACTGTGGAGACACCGGGTTCTCTGCTCTCATGTCGCTCCTCCCTGGTGGCCAGAGCCCTCCTTCCTCTGTGGATTCTGCAGTGCTGGGTAGTCAGCAGCTCTTCCCTCCACGATGCCCGGGGTACATTCTCAGAGGGTTATGCTGGTAAATGTTTGTTCCCTCTCTTCCTTGGCAGACTTGCAGTCACAGTCATCTGGATCCTGTGCCCAGGGATCTCACCCAGGAGTCTGTTCTCCATCACTGAATGCCAGTCTGCAGGAGATCTTGGCAAATGACTTTGCAGTGTTTTGCTTAAGAGCAAAAAAGCAAATATGCTCAGTATTTGAAGACGGGTAAAATTAAAACTTTTACTTGTTTTGACTAGAGTCTGTACTCAGGTGAGCCTGACACGTGGTAGCTTTTAGGATCAACCATTCCAACTAGGATGTTTAGGAAATAATATGGTTCAAATTCAGTAATGAGTGTTTTGGGCATGTCTTAAAGATGATAGAAATGATTTATCTTTGATGTGTGATGACATCTAGAATATGATACATTAAAAACAATAAACTGAAGAAACAGATAACCCTATTTATGAAAATGAAAAATGAAACAGATTGTATATGTGACTGCATGAGTTCTGGCATCATGCACCCTGGGATCGTAATAAATATTTGTTTAGGGAATTTTAAGGGAATACAGAAAAACAGCAGGATGGTTATGTTAATATAAGTTGCAATACAGTAAGATTTTAAATGCTCCATTTAAAAAGTGCAATAGTGAAATCTAATACTGACATTTAAATAAAACCAGTCCATATATGGAACTGAAATAAAATGTATGCTGTGTTTTGGGATCACATTTCAAGGGTGTCATTATTTTAAATGTTCCTTTTAGTGTGAGCCATGTTCCGTTACATAATTTTTATAGTTTTAAAAATGTGTTTGTTGTGTTTACATAACACATCAGGCATATTAAGTTTTATTTATTTCCAAGTAGAAACGAGCTATTAGATCTGGGCTTCGCTTCCTGTTTCCTTCTCATTGCTGTTCCTTTGGTGATGCATAGATGGTCACAGAGAATTTTGTTGTCCTTTCCTCCCACTTTAATGAACCGAGGCTGAGCACTGTCTCACATACAGGACAAGGCTGCCCATGGACTCCTCCCTGCCCACGGACGCACTTCCTGGTGGATGCCCCATCAGCTCTTAGGCTGAGGGCAGAGAGAAGAACGGGTCCACAGCTAAGGAACCTGGACACCCAGAGAACCCGGGAGGGACAACAGCTGGGACAGTGAACCCTGGAAAGAGGGCACTGACCATAGATTTTGTATGTGATCCTCCTCAGGGACCCTCAGAGACAGAACAAAACCCCAGTACCTGTGTGTCTTGAGGGGCCAGGTCCTTCCAGGTCCTCCTTTTGTCACTGCTCTAGGCCCCAGGCCTCCTCTTCCTATGAGTCGCAATGGACAGTCTCCTCTTCAGGCTGTACCCTCCTTATCACAACTGATCCCACACCCGTCTCCTCCTCCCCCATAAACCATGCCCTGCTCACTTCCATTAGCATTTTTGCATCATTCTGGATCACAGCCTCCCCAAGGATGTCTCTGCAGGATATCCATGTTGCAGACAGCTCAGCGCTTTGACAGGACCGCTGTGCCTGGGCCACCTGAGGCTGAGCATCTCTCTTGCTTCTCTTCTACACCAGCTCTAGGCCAAGCCAGATCCAGCCCTTTCAGAATGCTGAGCCCACATTTTCTTAAGCATCCGACTTCCTCTCTCACATCTGTGGGTCCCACAAGCTGGACTCCCCTTTGCTGTCATCGCTCCCACAGTTTCAGAGCTCAGGAAATGGCCAGGATACCTGCACCAAAAGGAGGGGACACCTGTGGGACCAGGCCAAGGGCTCCTGGACTTCTGGGTCACACAGCCTGGATTCTTTCTTTTCTTCTTTTATTTAATTTATTTATTTGTTTGTTTGTTTGTTTATTTTGAGACAGAGTCTCTCTCTGTTGCCCAGGCTGGAGTGCAGTGTTATGATCTCGGCTCATCACAACTTCCGCTTCCCGGGTTGAAGTGATTCTCCTGCCTCAGTCTCTTGAGTAGCTGGGATTACAAGCACCAGCCAACACGTCCAACTAGTTTTTGTATTTTTAGTAGAGACATGGTTTCACCATGTTGGCCAGGGTGGTCTCAAACTCCTGACCTAGGATGATCCACCTGCCTTGGCCTCCCAAGGTGCTGGGATTACAGGCGTGAGCTGCTGTGCCCAGCCAGGCTGGATTCTTTCTTGTCATTTCCACCTCATCGCCACCCACCATGTGTGGGCAGCTTATTTTGCTTCTTGAAACAAACTGATTCTCTGTCCACTGGGAAGACCAGTAAGAAAAGGAGTTATTGTCACTGAACCCTTAGTCCACTTTCAGTAATACAACCGACAGCAGAAGCCTTGGCATGAACTGGTGTTGGTCACAGGCAGGGATAAAGGAGGGACGGGCAGAGAGGATGAGTGGGGCGGATCTTCTCTCATTTCCCCATGGAACAGGAGCCCTTGGTAACACAGAGTCAGGGTGCAGCTGTGTGACACTGATAACCAGACGGGTCCTCAGACTGGAGCCCAGAGGTGGTCTAGGAGGCTGTGTGAATAAACCCAGAGCAGGAGAATCAGGCTGGGACCCCTGAATCACCATCACTGCTGTCCGCGGTCATAAACTTAGGGGCTGTCTCTGGGAGGCCTCCGTAGCCATTTCCATGGAAATGCCAATGTTTCTGCTGCTCCCCATGCAGAAAAAGGTGACTTTGAGGTGGGGGTCTCCTTAAGAGTTTTCCGGGGAGGAGTCACTTGAAGCAAATATTGGGCAGTTTGTGTACCCAGATATTCCACAGACTCACCACTAGACCCTGATTCAGTGTGAAGCTCCAATGGTGTTAGAGAGGAGAAGAGAACACAGTCAGGCCCTGAGGGATCAGGAAACCCACCCTCAGCAGTCCCCGTGGTCCTGAGTGGGATGAGCTGCAGGAAAGTCACATCCCTGCGAACTACCTCCCCCATGGCCAAGGAGCAGCCTCAGCCTTGTCTCAGTCATGGCGGAGCCTCCCCTTGACTCTCTCATGTCCTACATAGAGGTTTACTGGCCTCAGGCCCCCAGTTACCTTCAGACCTAACCCCATCTCCTGACATTTCCACTGAAATGCAGGTTTCCAGGACTGAGCCAGGTCAGCTCTGTATCCGAAATTCCTCCCTGACCTGCATCCTCAGGCAGCATTTCATATTTCAGTGGCTTGTTCCTGGGACACAGCAAACCTCAGACAGCCCTGAGAATAAACTACTGGGGATGGAAGGGGAGGTCTCTGCTTGTACACTGGAAGAGCAGAGTCCATGCTGCAGGGGACTGTTCACCTGCTACCATGTCCCCAGGCTCTGATCATGATGCGAACTAGGAAAGCCTCATTTTGCTTCTTTCAAAACAAAAGCCCAGCTCCACAGGCACTGATGTTAGGACACATGGACACGCAGCCAACGCTTCAGGGTCATCAGGTGCTTTGGTTTTGTTTTGTTTTACTGAGATTTCAGAAAAATGGATGGGAAATTGACAGAAGAGCCTTTAGCAACTAGAAAGTACATCCAAATGTAGTTTGTCCCTAGGCCGGTTATTTTAAAATTTAAAAATTGCTTGAGCAAGACCCAGAGCAGGGTGAGATTTTGTCCCACTTCCCCATCTGTGTGTGTCACTGTGAGAAGCGCTGCTGCGCCCAATGGCACAGTAATAGTCAGCCTCATCCTCAGACTGGAGCCCAGAGATGCGTAAAATCCCTGTGTTCGCTGAAGCATCTTTGGATCCAGAGAAGCGACTGGGGACTCCAGAGCCCTGGTGCTTATCTGAGTCTGATTTGTACTTCAGAAGATACCGGGGAGGACTCCCTGGCTTCTGCTGGTACCAGTGTATAGTGTAGTCACCAACATTGATGCCACCACTGAAGGTGCATGTGAGACTGGCTGATGCTCCAGGAGATGCTGAGAGGGAGGCCGGCTGAGTCAGCACAGGCTGGGAGAGGGAACCTGCAAACACAGGCATTAATGGGTGTTAAGGCAGAAGCCAGGGTCAAGTTGATCAGGGATCTTTGCCAGAAGAGTGAGAATCAGGCTGGGTGGCTGACCCTGGTCTGTGAAGCCTATTCCTACCTGTGCAGTGAGAGAGGAGCAGGAGGAGGAGAGGAGTCCAGGCCATGGTGGACACAGCCTCTTTCCCCACAGTGGGACTGGGCTGCCCGAGGCCTCCTTTTCTTCCCACCCTCTGCAGAGGAGGGGCTGCTCATGCAAATGTGTTTCCACCCAGTGACTGCCCAGCCCCTCCCTGAGCCCTGGGGATGCAGCTCAGCTCACTCTGCAGACTGGGCAGGAGGAAGGTTTGCTTTTCTTTTTCCAAGGCCCTGGGAGGAAGCACCTGTTGAGACCATACACAGGTCCCTGCTTAGCGAGCTCTTCCAGGCCAGAGGGGACACAGGGCTGAGTCCCCATCAGTGAGCACAGGGCCCCGCTCCCAGGCCTGGATTTCTTTGAGTGAATGGTCTTTACTGAGCAGCCATGTAGCAAAAACAGGGCAGCCCCACAACATCCAACACTGGTCCCAGGACAGGCACTTTCCCACGGCTCAGAGACCTCAGAACCCCGCTGGTCTCCGCAGCTCTCCAGTCACTGTCTGTATTCACATATCCATGGTCTGATTCCTAGACACTGCTTCTCTCATCCTATTCATTATTACTGTGATTTCTCACTCCCAGAAGCAGTCTTGGTGTGTGGGATGTGTAGACCTGTACATACATAACTTTTAAAGGTGTCAGCACCCCAAAAGGGCATTTTAGAAAAATCTATTTGCCGCGTGTACCATCAGAGTGGGCATCATGGAAAATGGGTCAGCTAAGGAGCCAGGTTGAAGGGCAGCTAGGGGCTGTTCAAAAAGACAGTGAATAATGAAAATTTTCCAGGAAAAATAAAGGATCCAAAACATGTTAAAGGCAGCAATTCAGCAAAAGTTATACTTACAACTGTTTCCTACCTTTTATAAAGATTTGACTCAATTTTGTGATACAGGAAAACTAATAGATTTGCTAGACTTACCCTTACCAGTGAGCAGTGTGACATATTACACTATTTTATGAAATTAGCCATTATCTCCCTAAGTAAAACATCATTTTCTGCACAGTGGTGTCATATTTTTTGGTCAAGAAATTGTTCTAGCTGTTATACAAATTGTATTGTGATATTACCACTTGTATTTTTTTTACTAGGTGTTTTCAGTTAATTAGAAAGATCAGTATATGGCCGGGCGCGGTGGCTCAAGCCTGTAATCCCAGCACTTTGGGAGGTCGAGACGGGCGGATCACGAGGTCAGGAGATCGAGACCATCCTGGCTAACCCGGTGAAACCCCGTCTCTACTAAAAAATACAAAAAACTAGCCGGGCGAGGTGGCGGGCGCCTGTAGTCCCAGCTGCTCGGGAGGCTGAGGCAGGAGAATGGCGTGAACCCGGGAGGCGGAGCTTGCAGTGAGCTGAGATCTGGCCACTGCACTCCAGCCTGGGGGACAGAGCGAGACTCTGTCTCTGAAAAAAAAAAAAAAAAAAAAAAAAAAGAAAGATCAGTATGTATTTTTCCCTCAAAGTTGTCTTGCAAGTGAGAAGACAAGGGCAGAGACCATCACTTCTCAATGTAGCCGCGTCTACTCTTGTGCTAACTGTGCAAATGACCCTGGGATTTCTAGACTCACAAGGTGTTTAGTGAATAATCTAGAATCAGGATCAGTCACTTTTCTCAGACACTCTCTCCTCAAGGCATCTGGAGACATCCCTCTCATTCAGATGGGGCAGGCAGGGCACTCCCTGGCTAAAGACCCTTAAGTAACTCCTCATTGTTATTATAAAACCTGAACCCTGAGGTCTCAGCCCCCTGTCCTTCACACTGTGGCCCCTGCACACCCCCACAGCCCAACTCACAGCCCCTGCCCTTGCTTTTAGGGCTCCAGGCTCACTCACTTGTCTTTCCTGGGAAAACCTGAGCTGTCTTTTCCACGTTCTCCACACCAGCTTCTCCTCTGCCTGCTGGAGAAGACGGGCTCCTACTTGAAGTCACAGTGTAAGCTTACATTTTGTCCACATTGTACACCTGTTAAAAGGAGAACATAAACATCTCATCACAAGCAAGAGTAATTTCAATACCGGTTAGCACGGAAACTTTTGAGTCATACAAATATACAGAGAATTTTCTAATGAATTGTTTGTGCCCATGAGCCAACTTTGACCATCATCAATGTAGTTCATCTTGTTTAATTTTTCAACCTATTTTACCCATCCACTTACTCCCTCGCTGGATGATTTTTCCAACAGATCAATGAAGCAGTATCATATCATTGGTAAATAAATTAACAAATATATACATTTGAAGTGTTCTGTAATTCTTGTACATTAAAGCAACAGATTCCAAGGACTCTCACATTAATAGATTTGTCTTTTATTCCTTTATGTTTAAAATTAATTTATTGTAATAATTGGGAGACTGAAGGAAGTACAATGAATGCTACAATTTGCAGATGCAGGACTCACAGCATTGCATATTGGATTAGAATAAAGTACAGATGGACACCTACAATCATAATTATTTAATGGCTTTACCCACTCCTCCTAGTGCAGAAATATCTCTTCTGTGGACACAGAGCTCATAAACCCATCATTCTTCCTTCAAGAATTTCCCCATCAAAGTCTATTATGGGACTTGGGACTGATGAGTTTAATGTTTGAATTGCATGATCGTATGGTTGATAGAAAGCTCTGTAATTAACTTTGTGTTGAAGGATATCTAATGTAAAACTTCTTAGCTATATAAATATTGCTAGATATTTTCCCAACTCACCCATGTTCTGCAGTTTATTTGCTCTTGAGAGATTTTGTCCCCAGAATTTGCTTCATCATCTACTTACTTCCTGTGGTTTTTTAAGCAGGACTGGGAAAGCCCATCACGCCCTCTCCACTTTCTCCACATGAACCCATGGGATCCAGCATCTGTGGATCCATGGGAATCAGACCATAAATGAGTGAACAGATGCTGTGATTGGCAGCTGCAGAGACCAGCTGAGCTCTCAAGTCTCTGGGCCATGGGAGGTATGTGTGATATCTATGTATTTGCATATCCATATCCTTCTCCTGATAACGAAATCCAAAGACAAAACTTCATACTTAATATCTTCTTTTGAATGAACTTGGAATTTCAAACACAAAATATCCAGAATTTTTTTAAAAATTATTATATTGATCTCAGATCTGTACGTCTTTTGGGGATTCCAGTATAGGAGAACTCACATATTTAACAAACATGTATTGAGTCTGTCCTTAGTGCCAGGCAGTGTTTTGGGCTCTGTAGCTACAGCAATGACAAGACAAAAAACAAGAGCAAGAATAAACAATCACATGGAGGTTGGATCTCAGCAGGGGAAAACCTTGAATAGAGTCACTAATTGTAAAGAAACATTTTCATGTGGCTGACCCCACCCTGACAAGTTCATCACTCTAGGGATCTGAAGCCCATTGCTGACAGCTGAGAGACACGCATTTCTATAATTCTGAAGAATGGATTGACTTGTTCAAAAGTTGATGATGTTATTTCAATACATGTGTTATATATAATCCTGCTTCAACAGAATGAGCTCAATCTCCTTGGCCTCACAAATGGCTGGGGTCTTACTGTAGGGCAGAAATAAAACAGAACCTTCTCATCACCCAGAAGAATTCTTAAGGGGAACCAGACAACTGAGTATGAGGAGGGAACTTCAATATCAGATAACCTCCCTACTGCTCTGTTTGTGATGGAGACAGAGCAGCAGACACCACAGGCCCGGAAGCCTGCCCTGGGAAGGAGGCAGGGATGAAAGGAGGTAAAGAGAAGGGTGAATAAAAATGCCTGGGAGGGGCCTGGACAAACTGCAAATTAGCGTACCCTCAAATCATGTGTAAAACCAAAAAAAAAAGCACAAAGGTTTGATCACCTTTGCGGAAATATTGAGAACAAAAATGAAAGAATGCATCCCAATGAAGAAACGTACTGATTTTGATTGTTTGAGATGAGATAGCTGGGAAGTGAATTTGGTGGTTTTTAATAGTTTTATTTTATATAATAGGCATGTATTGCTTTGAAAGTAACTCAATAAAACAAACTTTGGTAATATACAAAATGAATAGTTTCTTCCCTTTGTTGTTAGCTCAGAAAGCCCATACTTTGATGATGCTTCTTTCTGAAGGAAATCCATTTAGACTCAGCCTTTAGATCTGATCCAGCTGTGAAGGTTCTTTTTGGAATGTAAATTAACTCTTCTTTATTTTTTTTCTAGATCCAGTTACTCCCAAATCATTCTTACATTTCCTACACTTCAGGGCTTAAGCGGAAATAGGAATCAATTCAAATCCTTCTCTTCCCCTTTCTATGGCTGGTCCACATGGAAGCTGCCATGAGAGCTGGTGTGTCTGATCATGTGATCTCCACATCACAAGGGCCTCGGGAGGTTTATGTCTTGGTTCCTCTTATGAGTCTGTCACTGTGCTAAGCACCACTATAGTGCAGCCAACAGTAATACTCAGCTTCATCCTCAGGCTGCGCACCTGACAGTGTCAGGGCAGCTTTACCCCCAAGGAGGGAGCCTGAGAACCGGGCAGGGGTCCAGGAGAGCTTGTTGCTTGTATCATAAATCAGTGTTCTGGGGGCTTGGCCAGGCTTCTGCTGGAACCAGTAGGGATAATGACTCCCAGTGACTGCTCCAGCACTGGAGCCACAAGTGAGAGTGACTGTCCCTCCTGGGGACACAGTCAGTGAGGGCTCCTGAGTCACTACAGCCTGAGAATTGGACCCTGAAACAAAAAAACAGACACATGTTAGAAATTAGAAAGGGAGACACAAGGATCCTTCCAAAGGCTGGTATTTCAAATCTCTCTTAACCTGGGCAGCAAGTGAGGAGGAACTGGAGGAGGAGCAGAGTCCAGGCCATGGTGCTGGTATTGGAAGGGATCCCTGGCTCCAGAGCTGGGGCTGGATTCTGATGGCTCTTTATCTCCTATTGAGCTCTCGACAGGGAGGGGGTGTGTTGTGTGCTACTTTATGCAAATCTTTACTGCCTTTACCACCACCTAGATCCACAGCCCTGAGAGCAGCTACCCTATAAGGGGCCAGCCCAGGGTGGCTGTGTGCTGTGGATTTGCCCTGTGGGAGGA